TTTTTGGATTTTGGGTCATGGAGGGGTATCTTGGTAATTTGGTCATTTTTTGGAAATTTTGACAAATTTGGATGTATTCAAGGTGTTTGAAATGGGTTTTGATCAATTTTGGTTAATTTGGCAAAATTTGGGAATTTTAGCCAAATTTAGGTTCCAAGGGCAGTTAGGTAATTTGGAGGTGCCTCGGGGCAAAAGACCAAGTTAGACATTTCACATAGAATTGGATAGATATCCATTCTAAATGAACCATGAATTAATATATTGTGAAGATATGGTGTACCCTAGTTCCAAGTCAACACCCAGGGTCAATCCTAAAGCCAAGTAATCCTATAGGGACTCTTCTTGAATTCTCTTATAATGATCTTATCTACTAAATGCTAGAGGTTAAGATCATTATGTGGAATTTCAAGTTGAGTAAAAAGAAAAGTTTTGAATTTCTAATGGTGGGGGTACCTTTTCTAATTTTCTAAGACTAGTCTATAGGAAAGTCCTATGGCTAGACCTAGGCTACTAAAGAAGTTTCTAGACCTCAACCAAAAGTGAGGTCAACGGTGACATGCCTAAGATTTTCAATGTCTAGACCACTATCTTAAGAGGTCACCTCTTCTTGAAAACTTCATTTGCTCATCCTAAGCGCTAACACTATTCCTTATTAGCAAACTTTTTTTAATGAGCTCATCCACATAGCTTACCTGTGTTCGTGAGTGCATGATGTTAGCTTTAAGGCTGACATCATTATTTAGGTACTTGTCATGATGAGTTCACCTAGAAGATTGCTCTTCTTGATTAATTCATTTGGTTGACTTAGTGCCAAATCCTTTCTTTAAAATAATTTATATTTGTAAATTGTGCTTGAGGATTTAACAAACCATCAATCGACGATTTCATCAAGGAAGTTTGTCTTATTTTGTTCTAATCAGTTTTGATAGAAAACATCACATTCCTTTTCATAGTGAGATCATCTTAATAACTTGCCTTCTTAACGACATCCCAAAAACTTAACTTCTTATTAAATTCATCCAATTGGCTTAGACCCACATCATGAATTTTTAGAAAGTTATATTTCTCTTATAACTCATCCCACCCAACTACTCTTTTACTCAATAATTTGTTACTTATCATAAGAAATATCTTAGAATCCAAAGATATTAATGAACTCTTGAAAGCATTATTGCTCGATACTTACCATATGTGAGTGCACCAAGTGTTCTTACATTAGTGCAACATGCATGTCTACTCCAAAAATAAGAAAGAATTTGCATGAATTTTTCCTAAGATTCCTCAGAAGTGCCAATTTAACAAAGTGGGAAAGATTTTTCCTAATGCTGGTTTATTTTGAACATTTCAAGTTGCATATTTTAAGCCCTCTTAAGTTATAAGAGAGCCCTTAATTTGTAAGAAGACTATCTATAAATTCAAAATTCCTTAGTTTTTTCCACCGTTATAATGCTTCTTTTCCCACATTGCTAACTTGGCTTTGAAGGAGCACTAAGGAACTGAAGCAGTAACCTTTGAATGTCCTTCCAACTATCTCAAATTTTTTTGTCCTTTAAAGTGTGACTTTCCTAATTTTTCATGTCATGTCATCAAATCCTCCGTTGAATGTCTCTCTTTCTTATCATCCCTCATTAGTAAATAGGGCTAATAATCCCTTTGGTAATACTCTAATATTTATATAGATTTTTTTCCTTTATTGTGTAAGTATAGGAGGTTTAGGAACCCTGAGATCCACATATGTCATACATTTATACTCAATGCAATGTAACATTTTATTATTATATTCTCTCTAGAAACATCTACATGTTTTGGTGGTTGAGATACATATTTAAGTTGTGTGAACCGCTTATTGAAGTCACCGATCAAAGTTCCTATGGACTCAAAAACTTCTCAACTCATGGATAATAATTAGAGCGTTTGTGCGAAGTTTAGACAACATGGCAACTAGAATCACTTGGAATATGAAGCAACACTTGACAACCCCTTAATCAAACTTGCCATCTCACACGTGATTTAGAAAAAAAGATTAATAAACCCATCTCTCACGATGTCGCTTACGTGTCACGCTTTGATTTGTGTCAAAATCACAGTTCTTCCTTAAGATATATACCAATAGCTCTTTTTTATGAGTTGTGATTTTTATTAAAATGACTTAGTAAAACTTGTTGTGATTATGTTCTAACTAAGGGTAAGTAAAAAAATAATTTTAAAGCATTATGTGCAAGGGGCATTGAGATACATGTCTTATGCTTAAATGTTTGTAAAATCATTAATGTTCATTTTCTCTTAAAGAAGCTTGTATCATATTAGGTTAGCAAAATTTGGACCTAAGCTCGATTTATTGTAATCTTTCGTGTACATTTAAAGTCCTTAAAATTTTAGAAGATATTTACTTTCCTAAGTAATGGGATTATGATCAACTTATGAGAAATAGGAAATAGCACAATAGGAAATATGGAATGACATGATCGAGATTATGTACAATATTTTTTTTAAATATACATTTTAGTATATTTATTACATATTTTATTTTTATTTTTACAAAATAAATATATTTATTTAAAAAAAGTAAGAATTACATACAAATCACTCAATTCAAATGTATTTACTTATCTATCATCAAAACTTAATGTTTACATTTATGCCACCTTATCTATGAATGAAAATGTGTATTTCACTTTTTCAAAGTAAAAAAAATTAGAATGGTATAAATGTAAAAGAACAAAATTTAGTTGTTAGATATGTAAAAATGCAAGAATTGGGTGTTATGTATGCAAATTTCCCTTATAAAATCTAAAACCTACATTTAAATGTTTTAATTTTTTTTAAAAAATTATCATCCATTGCCAAAATAAAACATATTTTATTCCAAATTAAAATATAAATCATTTTTTAAAAGTTAATAACAATATTATTTTTGATGTGATATGAGAAATTTAATTACTATAAATAAATGTGAAAAATCATGTGATATATATGTAAATGCACTAAGATTTTAAAGTAAATTACATATATACTACATAGTGTTTATCTTTTCTATACATTTAATATTTATACTTTAACATATATACTTTGATGTTTTAGATTTATATATGAAAAATATATAATTTATTTAAGAAAATAATAATAGCGAAAATTTTTATGTACCATTTAAATTTGAATGTGAAATATATAAATATGAATTTTAGATATTAAATATATAAATATATAAAAATTTCGTTTTATGTATAAAATGCGCCAAATTTTAAATGAACGCGCTCTGCGTATGATTCCAACGAATCTACCGTAAATTTTGAATTTCTCGGAAATGGACGGCAGATTTGCTCTGGCAGCGCAGTTTCTCCTACCACCCGGTGAGAAGGGGAATGCAAACAGCTACAGCAGCCAGTATAAAACAGAAGGCAGTTTTACTGTCTTCGGAGCGGTAACCATATGGACTGGGTACCAAACTTAACTTTCTCGCGATAAGGCATCTCAAATCGGTAGCAATCTACCATTTCTCCATTATCAACCCTTTTTTCCTTCTTTGTCACCTGCCTTCTTCGTCTCTCGAGCGTCAAAACGTAGCCCTATTCCCAACCAGCCTGCGGATCTTTGAAGGCGAAGATGAGAGAAATTCTTCACATCCAGGGCGGACAATGTGGCAACCAGATCGGCGCCAAGTTCTGGGAGGTGATCTGTGACGAGCACGGGATTGATCACACTGGCAAGTACAGTGGCGATTCCGACGTGCAACTGGAGCGGATCAATGTCTACTACAATGAGGCAAGCGGGGGGAGGTACGTCCCGCGAGCTGTTCTTATGGATCTGGAGCCTGGGACAATGGATTCGGTCAGATCCGGGCCTTTTGGGCAGATCTTTCGCCCAGATAACTTCGTCTTTGGGCAATCTGGGGCGGGGAACAACTGGGCTAAGGGACACTACACAGAGGGGGCAGAGCTCATTGATTCTGTTCTGGATGTGGTGAGGAAGGAAGCAGAGAACTGCGACTGCCTGCAAGGTATGAGATCCACCAAGTTAAATTTCCGTTTGCGTTAGACTTTTGTTGCATCTTTCTTCGAAGTATTGGCGTGATAATTAATACCGGTTTGAATCATCATAGTTTACTTCTGGTCCATGTGTGCTTTTTAGGGGTTTTTTTTTAAAAATAAAGATTGTTCTGTATTAGCCTATTTTGTAGGAGAAAATTTTGAATCAAGAGTCCAGGCGCAGCTATACGTCCGGACTTCAATGTTATTTTGCCACATGTAAGTGGCGGACCCATTGAATTAAAAAGAACGAAAAAAATGTCTATATTGGTGCATGACCCAACCCGAACCAGCCTAATGCTTCGAAATCAAAACCATGCGTGCCTCTTCTGTTCCTATTTTCTTCTATCGCCATCGGATAGGGTTTCACAAAGTGATTTTTACCTGCTATTTTGGGTGCTGGGGTTTGACTCGTTTGAATTCCCTCGCATTGTCAGTCACCGGACGATAAACATTTGCTGTTACTCTCTCATCATATAAGTTTTTTGATGTTATTTGTGAACATGTTAAGTGAAAAATATTGATGATGAAATCTGAAAAGAATGATGAGAATTTTGAAATAGAGGTGAGTTTAGGTGCGTTTGAAGTATTGACATTAATTTATGTTTGCTTGATTGCCTTTGTTCTCCAAATCAATGATAGTATGTTCCTTTTTTGTGTTTTTTTAATTGTTTTGGTGGTGTTATTGTAAATCTATTGCGTTTGAAATATTAACGTTAATTTATCTTTGCTTGATTTTGTTTTTAATCTGAATCAATGATATTATATTACTTTTATGGTATTTTTGTAATGATTTTGTGGTGTTATTGTAAATTTATTCTGGCGGTGATGTTTTTTTTGTTGTATTTACTATTATTGTAATTTTTTTGGCATTGTGGTAATTTTGAGATGATATTGTGATTTTATTTTGATAGTATTCTCTCATTATTTTGGATTTATTGTAGTAATTTGTAGTGTTATTAGACTGATATTGTGATTGTATTGAGGTGAGATTGATGTTGTATTTTATTTAGATTATAGTTCTTTTGTGGTGGGATTGTGGATGTATTAATGATTTAGTGGTGGTATTAAGGTGATTTTTGGTAATTTTGAGATGATATTGTGATCTTATTTTGATAGTATTGTCTTATTATTCTGGCGGTATTGTAGTAATTTTTAGTGTTATTAGACTGATATTGTGATTGTATTGATGTGAGATTGATGTTGTATTTTATTTTGATTATAGTTCTTTTGTTGTGGGATTGCGGAGGTATTAATGATTTAGTGTAGTTATTAAGGTGGTTTGTGGAGGTATTGTAATTATTTATAGTGGCATTGTCCTATTATTTTAGTAGTCTTGTAGTATTCTCTGGTGTTATTGGTGTGATATTGTGGTTATATTGAGCTGCGATTGATGTTGTATTTTGTTCATATTTTAGTGGTTTTGTGATGATATTGTGGTTATATTATAATAAATTTGTGGTTGTATTAATATGTTGTTGCAGTGATGTTTTGGTTGTATTGATGTGAGATTAAGGTTGTTTTTTGTTCATATTGTGTTGGCTTTGTGGTATTTAGGTGGTGTTATTGTTGAGATATTGTGATGATTTTGTTGTAATATTGTTTTATTGTTATGGTGATATTGTAATAGTTAGTGTTATTCGAGTGGTATTGTGATTGTATTGATGTGAGAATTATTTTGTGTTTTATTAATATTTGAAATTTATTGTGGTGTTATCGTGTTATTGGTATTATTTTGGTCTATTGAAGTGTTATTGTGGTTGTATTATAGTGTTATTAGAGTGATATTGTGGTGATATTGTTATGGTTTTGTGGTGATATTCTATTGGTGTTTTCATATTATTATGATGCTATTTTGGGATATAGGGTTGTATTTGTTCTTTTTTAGGTTTTATGCGTATATTATAGTAATTACCATACTTAGTCATGTTTAAACTATTTTTTTAAAGCATTAGAAATCTATTATGATTTAGATAATAATAACTTGAATTATATGTACTTATGCTTAATTAAAGAGACCCCCATTTCCCTTTCTCTCAGTTATCTTAGTTTTATTTGTAGCTCCATCTCCCCTAATAATATTGGAGATTATCCTTACCTTTGGCACAAAGATAATCTTTGAACTAAATAACCCAATATTTATTCTAACCCCACATTTTCTTAGCATAAATTCAAGATTTAGATTTATTAACCCAAAGGCATATATAAACATTCTTATTGGTATATTTAATCTCCAAACTAGACCTCAAGTCCTCCATAATAACATAAGATCTTAGTGGACCATCGCTTATATGAGTTTATTATAGTCCTAAACCTTCTTAATACCTTCCATAATGTTCCTGTAAGCATCCAATCAGCGAAATGCCTGGACCACTATCTTAAGAGGCCACCTCTTCTTGGAAACTTCATCTGCTCATCCCAAGCGCTAACATTATCCCTCATTAGCAAACTTCTTTTCAACGAGCTCATTCAAATAACTTACCTTTGTTTGTGAGTTCATGATGTTAGCTCTAGGGCTGAATCTTTAATTGAGTTCACCTAAATGATCACCCTTCTTGATTAATTCATTTTGTTGATTTAGTGCCAAATCCTTTCTTTTAAATATTTTATCTTTGTAAACTATTCTTAAGGATTTACCAAACCAACAATCAACGATTTCATTATGGAAGTTTGTCTCATTTTAATCTAATCAGTTTTGATAGAAAACATCATACTCCTTTTTATAGTGAGATCATCCTAATAACTTGCCCTCTTAACGATCGAGTGTTCGTACATTAGTACAACATGCATGTCTATTCCCAAAATATAAAAGAATTTATATGAATTTTTCTTAAGTTTCCTTAGAAGTGCCAATTTAACAAAATGGGAAAGTTTTTTCCTAATGTTGGATCATTTTGAACAGTTTTTAGTTGCATCTTTTAGTCCCTTTGAAGCTATAAGAGAGCTCTTAATTTGTATGAAGACTATCTCTAAATTCAAAATTTTCTTTGTTTTTTTATGCCCTTTATAATGCTTCTCTTCCCACATCGCTAAGTTGGCTTCAAAGGAGCACTAAGGAACTAAAGCACTGACCTTTGAATCTCCTTACAACTTATTGACTATTATAGACTATTTCTCAATTTTCTCTGTCCTCTATAGTATGATTTTTCTAACTTTCCATGTGTTGTCGTCAAATCCTCCATTGAGTGTCCCTCATTCTTATCATCCTTCACTGGTAAATAGGGCTAATAATCTCTTTAGTAATACTTTAATATTTATGTAGATTTTTTTTCCTTTAATTCTTAAATATAGGAGGTTTGTGAACTCTCAGATCCACATATGTCATACTTTTATACTCAATGCAATGTAACATTTTATTATTATCTTCTCTCTAAAAACATTTAGATGTTTTGGTGGTTGAGGTAAGAATTTAAGTTTTGTGAACCACTTCTTGAAGTCATCAATTAAAGTACTTATGGACTCAACAACTTCTCAACTCATGGACAATAATTAGAGTTTTTGTGCGAAGTCTAGACATCATGACAACTAATATCACTTGGAATTTGAAGCAATACTTACCTCTCAATCCAACTTGCCATCTCATACGTGATTTAGAAAAATGATTAACAAACCCATCTCTCATGATGTCACTCAAGTATCACCCTTTGACTTGTCAAAATCACAGTTCTTCTTTAAGATATCTATTAATAGCTCTTTTTTATGATTTGTGATACTTATTGAAATGGCTTAGCAAAGCTTATTGTGATTATGTTCTAAGGGGAAGTAAAATATAATTTTAAATCATTATGTGCAAGGGGCATTGTGACATATGTTACATGTTTAAATGTCTGTAAAATTATTAATGTTTATTTTCTTTTAAAGAAGTTTGTATTATATTTTATTAGCAAAATTTGAACCTAAGCTCGATCGATTGTTGTAGGGCGCTGTAAACGAGCCAAGCTTGAGCGAGTTGTGCCTCAACTAGTGTTCGGATCATTCCAATTTGTCTCTTTTTCGAAATGGCTTGTGAACAATGTGTTCGTGTTCGACTCGAATAACAACTCTTGTTCGTGTTCAGCTCATGTTCAACTTGAAATAGGCTTGGTAGAATATAAAATGGTGTGGAATCACACCAATAATATCACAAACGATGGAGTAATATCGATAACACAACGATAAAATCTGAGAAACACCCACAATAACACCTGTATAATGCCCAAATAACATGAATGTTACTCAGGTGTTGTTGCAGATGTTATTTCGCTGTATTATTTTCGTATTGTTAGTGTTATTCCACAATGTTATTGATATTTTAAAGATATTATTATGGTATTATTCTAAAATACCGTGGAATAACACCGATAACACTGCCGAATAACACCACCATGATTACGATATTATTATCGTATTATTTGTATTATTCTACGATGTTATTGTTGTTATCGATGTTATTCCGCACATAACACCCATAACACCGCAGACGTCAAAATAACGGGAGTGAATCGTCACCATAAAGAAGGAGAAAATAAAAGCTCGAGAAGAAGAGTTGGAGCGTCGAGAGGTAGAGCAGCCACACGAGGAAGGAGAAAAGTCGACAAAGAGGGAGATCGCCTCGTGGATCGCTCGCGAGATCTAGTGTTCGCACGAGAGGGGTTCGAAAGCGACTGGTCAAGCCGTGGGATCAAATGGGGGGGGGCTAAATATGCGGGTAAAGGGATAAATAGGGTTTAGAATTATAAATATTATTATAATTAGTAATATAAATATAAAATATTTAATATTACAAAAATAAAATTTGATTCATACCTTTTATTCGTGTGTTACAACATAACAAAATGGATGTCATTTTTAGGTAATTCTAACGTTCCGGACGCGTTGGCGTGGTCCGTTTTGTCGTCGGAGGTCATTTTAATGAATTCATCAATTTACGTACAATTTGCTCGTGTCGAAAATTATAGTAATATGAGTGTTTTTTTTGGCTAAAATTGATGTC